TCAAATGCAGCCCATGATTGGATGGGTCATCCTGAGCTGAGGTTTCATCAACAGCTAAGCACCCCATCTAGTCCTTGTGCAGTTGTTGTCCATTGATTGGAACTGATGTGGAGAAAGAGACAGGAACTCACGTATGCTAGGATCATGGAGCACGCCAGGTCTGGGAAGATGAAGCTGGGAGAGACACAGGCTGCATCTGAGGAAGCCGACTGTAGAATTCTAGTGCCACCAAGTGGTAGCTGGAGACGAAACCACTCTGCGTCTCAGTGTTCTCATTCATCAAAGGGGATACCATTCTAACTTCCTAGGTCTGCTGTGAAAATTTAATAAGATAAAGAAAGTGTGCAAGAGTGCGCAGCATGCTGTCTGGCATGCAGTCGACTTCTGATTTGGGCGTTGGAGAATAAATGGAATTTTGGAGTAATGAGAATATTATGAGCTGGTTGCACAGCACTGTGTGTTAAGAACTGCTGAGCTGTACACTAAGATGGTTAAAGTAGGGAATTTTATGTTGAGTGAATTTTATCGCAATTAAGAAGAGAATAAATGGAGATTTTCTAGGTAGAAAAGGTGGGTGAGAGGTGTGGGAAGCATGTTTCAGGCATAATAATAAGTTTCTGAGAGTTACTGATGAACCGCTGAGCTGAACAGTCAAGGACAGAGCTCGTAGGCACTCTACTAGAGACTCTCTCTAGTCCAGGATAACTTTCAATAGGCATTATAACCTAAGTTATACTTCACTTTATTATGCACCAAGATAACCTGAAAGATCTTGCCAAAAACTTCGCTAAACTCAAGGCCAAGGTGAAGTCAGCTCAAGGGGAGGTGGGAGAAGTTTTAGTCAAGTTGAGAGATGGAGCCACATTAAATCTGTACAGTGGATCCCCACCTTTTCTCCATCCTGGGGGAGGTTTAAAGAAATACAGGTAAAAGTTCAATCCTGGGGGAGGGGGTGGTACACATACCTGAATATTTTATCATAAGCTCCTCTGATGATTCTAACATACAGGCAAGGATGAGAACCTGCATATACCAGCAGGCTAATGTCCTTTGTATCTGATGCTGTCCTTGTTCTCTAAGTGGCCCAGCCAGCTACAGAGTGCCCAGAACCCAAGTCCAACAAGCCAACCCACCTCACCTGTAAAGGGTTTGGTCCTTTTTTTTAGAGGAGGCTTTTTGAAGCAACGTGAGTAGAAATGGAATAAGGCTCAAGAAAGCACAAATGTGTTAACAAAGCTGATCTCTTAACCAGTTTATTGTATTTTTACAATAATAAAAATAAATTAGTCATACACAAAAATAGTTGTCATTTTTGCTGAAGATAAAACAGACTGTATTTACTCATATAATTCACCCGCTACTCTCCACCTCTTTAAACAATAACTTAACACTAGAAGGATGACAAGGAGTTGATGGTCCCTTGCTCCTGACTATGCAGTTAGTCGACAGGATAACCCAGAGCCTCCGCTCCAGCAGTCCATGCCTCTGGAGGCATGGTCAGAGCAGTGGATGCATCACATCTCTTTATGGGCCCTCTGCCTCTGTGAGTAGACCCTGTCTCATCCACAGCTCTAACCAAGCCTCCCGAGCAACTTACTGCTGGTGATTCTAACGAAGGAGGCAAGACGGAGGGAAGAGATGGAAAAGACCCTCATATTTCCTTATCTAAATGTTTGGACATGAAGAGAGGGCAGATTATATGAGTAAATATGATATTTAAGATGGAAAGGTGGCAATCCAGACAGACCTGTTTCAGGTACAATGCTGGGGGTAAAAGCCCCTGAGCAAGTCGAAAGCAGAGTAATTTATATTCGATCTTAAAACCCAAGGAGTTTGACTAATCAGTATATTAAATTGTAACTATGGACTTAGAATAGGACACTGTGTAGCAACTTTCCAGGAAGCTGCATTAGTAGGATCAAATGATTTTACATGAATGTGGGTCGCATATGTAAATAAATACCTATTAGGTCCCTTTAAAATTAACATATTCTAAATAATAGAACTATTTTGGTGTAGTGACTCATTCTGCCAATAGAGTTTGGAATACACATTTCCTATAAACATCTTGTATTTACAAAGAACAAATAATAAGTTATAACAAAGTATATATCCTTCTGTCAGACTGAATGGTGGGGATCTGAGAGTCAAGGCAGGTGGATGCTAATTTATGTAACCCAATGGCTTTCCTCTCACTGAGGATGGAAGATGCTGAGAAAGCTGGTTAGAAGTCCCCACCCTCTCTCATGGTCACTTTTCCTCAGCACTATGGTGTGCCTCCCACTGCAACCCACTGAACAGAAACAGGAGTGTGGGATGGTTCAGGGTGGAGAAAATTTCTTCACTCCAACAAAGGTAGGAAAGCAAAGTTGAGAAAGAGAAATAGTATTAGGGGGTCCTAGTCTTGTCAAAGCTGTGCCCCCATCAAGATGTGTGACCTTGAGCAGGGAACTAGACATTGGGACGTTTGGTTACTCGCCCATAAAGTGGACTAGACAGGGCAGTGCTGACCAGCTTGCTAGTGGTTCTCTCATGGCCACATGGTTCAGGGGAGGGGTGCAACACCGGGCTCAAAATGGCGGGTGTAGAAATGGGAAGTATGTGCACCTGTTCCTGCCATCCCAGACCGGGCGAATCACTTAAAGCTGTTCTACTTGTACAGTTACCAAAGCCCAGACTTAGAAAGAATTTTACAACATTCCTGACAAAGGTGTGCTGGAATCCTCTCTCCAGGATCCCCGACAAATGGCCATTCAGCTTCTGCTGAAACCGCCAGCGATGGGTCCGTCACAACCGACCAGAGAGGCCTCTACCTTCAAATACTCTAACTTGCAGAAAGTTGATTCTTCTGCAAGAGTTAAAATCTGTCTCCCTGTAGCTTTTATCTCGTGGTCCTAGGAGAGCTGTCCTGGTTCTATCCCAAGTCCCTTCTCCTCTAGGCTAAACATTCCCATCAAGTCTTTTCCACTGTTTCTAACAGTCTGCATCCCTCATCAGGACCGGGCACATTATCTGCATGTTATGTGCTTTCAATATTCTTAAAGTTTCCAATAATCACAAGCACAATGGGGTACGACTCTCACCAATGTTTTCTCCTCAGGTAGTCTAAAGGTTTTGTTTTCTTTTGTTTCTGTGGTTTCACCTGACTTTCCAAACTCACATTGAGCTTAGTCAACTGAAGCTCTGACATCTTCCTCATCTTGTACTTGTATAGTATTTTTTAAAAAATTCAAACGTAGGACTTTATGTTGCTCCCTAGTGAATACTCTCCCAGATCTTTTTGAATCCAGAACCTGCTACCCAAGCTGTTAGCTCTCCAACTTGATGTCATCTACCAATTTAATCGGTAAGGCATCTATTTTCCCACGTAAGTCATATTAAAAATGTTTTATATGACAAGAATCAAATGGCCTCCTCCTGCCAAGCTGACATAGGTTTCTTCAGGTTTGATTATTGAGCCTGTTTTAAGGAAAGTCCTCTTTGTTTTAACCACTTTTACTTGTGTCTTCTTCCATATTAGAAAACTGATATTTAAACTCTAAAATTGCTGTATTAAAAAGAAAAGACATTGGTTTAGAAAGGCGCTAGCAATACTAGTAAGACCTGCTTTTCTCTCTCTGCCACTCAATTTGATGAAAATAAATTAAGCTTGTATTTCCCATTTTTCATCCCTCCGCAAGGCCATTGTTTTAAAGGAAAAAGAGTGTTGAATGCTAAACACTTTGAGGATGAGTAAATGATACATACTCAAGGAAATAAAAAAGGAGAACTCAAAAAACCCTGGGCCAGAGAAGTAATTAATGCAAAGTAACAGAGAGTCAGTTCTGAGAGCTCCTATCACACTGTAGGTCCCTGAGGGCGGAGACAGACATTGCTCGCCTTGGTTCTCTACCAGCTTGTCAAGCAGACACCAGACAGGGCTTTAACGAACTGAACTGACTCCGTCTAGTGGCGGGGCTTACAAACATTTTGTGTAGAGTCGTGTTTTTTTCACACTATTCCTTTTCTATGCAGAGAAATGCAAGTCGACGTGAGAATGGGCAGAACTGACTGCACTAAATGGCCTTTGCTTAGGGTGCAAGGGGAACAGTTTCCTTTTCCAATAAGTGAAAGTGAAAAAGCAAACTATTTCTGTTTGGCGTTTTGTTGATGTTTGTGAGAAAAACATCTATCAACTTAAAGACATCTAATTTTAAAACTCAGGGCAGGGAATGGGGCCATCCAGGACACGGGGAAAAAAAGCAGTATCAAATGTAAATTTCAGTTTCGCATTATGGCCAGTTAAAGGAACATGGAGAGGACCCAGGAGGAGGTGGCAGGTGATGGAAAGGAGAGGGAGAAATAATGGGATGCAAGAAAGGGAGAATGAGACCTAACTGGAGGGAGCGAGTCATCGAAAGGCGAGCTATCCTTAGACTCCCTTCCCAGGAAGTTATCACCGGAAATGCTAAAGGACTTTACAGTTTGTGTTGTACTAAAGACAAGGGCAATTAGACGTGGACACAAGAAGCTAGGAAATGAGTAAAAATCTAATTTCTAAGACAATAACTTGATAAAACCCCTGTTCTAGTAATTTATAACCTTTCCGGAGATGAATGAATTCCAAAAATAGCTCAACTATTTGTTAGAAGAGAAAAACACCCCTAGGTTAGGTACTTTTTCTCTCTCGAAGTCACAGGATCGATCCATTTGATCCCACCCAATTCCACAATTGGCAGGATGACTATTCTCATGGGGGTCAATCATTGTCCTTTTAAAGAATCGTTAGGTAATATTTGGAAGCCACAGAACACTGTTAGATGTCAAGGAGACAAAGCCTTCATTGACCGGCCAGTTATGAGAATCCTGAGTTGGGAAGACTAGAGATGCTCGCCCCCACCTGACGGAGAAATTCCATTTAGGATGGAGAGCGCAGTCATGAATGGTGGGTGGCTCGGATGGCCACGAGGGTTTCTCTTAATCTGAGCTGAAATCAGCCTTTCTGCTCTTCCACCCATCGATCTTGCCCTGAACTCCAGCATGTAAAGAAAGCTTCTTCCAAAGACTCCTTCGAATGATTGGCTTGTTCAGTAAGATCTGAGAGCAACTGCACAACGGAAGAACTATCCTCGTAAGCCGTGAAAGGAAGAGGGTGGGCATTGGACAAAACCACTGATAGGCTTGGTGGGCATGGGAATCTGGGCCTCTTTCCGCCTGCTTCTCTGTGCGAGTTCATAAGAATCAGGAGAGATGGGGTGCTTCTGCGAAGTGGGGGCCAGGGCTCTCCAGGAAGAGGATGGCCACAGAAAGGCCCAGCGGAATTTCTGAAAGCTCAAAGGGAGTGAACCTAACGGAGCGTGTCAGACCAGGCAGCTGATACTGCTTCCAAAAGCTGCAAATGGTCATTGAGTTAGCAGATCTGAGGTTTAAAGGGTTCACGGGAAGAATCTAGGCTTGCTTTAAAAGCGAACTAGGCCCAGGACTATGGTACTAAATGAGATAGATTTTTTTTGTAAGCTTACTATTTGTTTAGCCTGATATTTTTCTTAATGGGTGAAAGAAAAAAAAATATTTTTTTTCTTAATTGACTTTTCAGATATTTCACTTCTCAGTATGCACTACAACCCCCTTTAGACCTCTGGAACTGAAGAGTTAGGTGGATGACCCTGCTGCTGCAGCCGTCACTGGAGTTTGCAGCCCCTTCTACCAGACTGGCGGCATTAATGTAGATGTTAGTGCCACATCTGGGAGGGAGCGGGGAGTATGGTTTGTGAGTCATGGGGCGAGGGGAAGGATTTGAAGTCACAGTGAGAAATCCACAAATCAAATCAGAAAGACCAAAGAGGGACTTTCTAACATAGACATAAGGTTTTTACTGCAATGGGCTGGTTAGACTTTCCATTGGGAGCAGCCCGAAGGGCTGGCTGAGGAAGATGCGGGAGCACACAGCTCTGGAAATCTGCTCTGGGATCCGAAAGTCTCAGTGGCCAAAGGGATCCTGACCTGAGATTCCAGAGGAGGACATCTCTCTGGGAGATGGAATCAGAATGAAGGTAATGACTTTGCTACCCAATGGCTTTCTGGTCTCATGGGGCAGTTCCTTTAAGGATGGGGGTTTAACAAAACCTGCAGAGTCCACTGACTACAATCTGTGACTTTGTGAGGGAAGGAATAAGTAGAAAAAGACTTCTGAGACAACTGACACAGGGGAGAGAGTCTTGACCTTTCCATGGAGGGAAGAATTCAAAGACCTGGGCTTTGTTTGCAAATTGGGAAACTTCTCAGCCTCTTGGTCTGGAAGGAAGCCGCATCCTGCAGACCTAAAACTTCTGGACAGGCCTTGGGGGCGGGGTTTTGTAGTCAGATGATTAGGGTCAGGACTCAGCTCTGCTATTGAACAGGTGAATATACCTGGCAGGTCAATTACCAAAGCTGAGTCTAAGTTTCTTTGTCAGCAAAACGGGGATAATGATTCCCATTCTGGGGTGTTGTGAGTTGCTAATGAGTTAATATCTGTGAATACGCCTGTGAAACAATAAAGCACTATATTGACTTGAGATATTTGTATCCTAAGGCAGGAAAATAGCCTGATGTCTTTGAGAATGAAGATAGGCACAGCTGGACTGAGGTAACAGAGGGATCAGGCATCTCAGAGGGCTTCGTGGGGCCCTGGGGCAGGGGTGCTACCTCCTCTGACTCTCCACGAGGCGCCGATATTGGAAAGGCCAGTAGCACCAGGGATGAGGCAGCACCCAGTCAGGACCCAACTGCTGACTTAGAAAGTGCCAGGACGGGAGTTGGCTGAGAGCTACCTGTACCCCTCCCTCCCACTGCTTGGTTTTCAGGGAGTACCTTTAGCAGATGCCAGGTTTCCCAAGGAGGAATTATCAGTTTATGGCAATGCTCAAAAGACAGGTATGGCTCCGCTCCTGGGCACCATGTGTACACTTTACCAAAGGCAGGGGTGGTGTAAGTTGGCTGGCAGCGCCCTGGGCCAGAGAGCCCTTGCTGGAGCAACAGCCAGCCAGTCACCCTGTTTAGACTCCCCGCCCCACCCTATGGATGCGGTGCGGGGGTGTTATCTGCTCCCCAGGAAGCCGGAGTGCCTGTTGGCCACACGAGTGCAGGAGGCGCAGCAGGCAGTCTTGTAGTAGTTGTAGACACAGAGTCGCGCTTGGACTACCACGTTGCAGTTGTAGTACCTGTCTTTGCAGTTTTCATCTGCAGGAGAAGAGAGCAGAAGAGTCTGAGCACAGGGGCAGCCGGGACTGCTGGAGAGAGGAAGGGCAGTGGGTGGGGCTCCCGATCCTGGCCCTGCTGTCTTTGCCTATGGGAGGAGTGAGTGTGGACGAAGGGCTTAGGTCTTTTCTTTTTCTTTCAACATGAAGTTAGAATCTTACTGCTTCGACCTTAAGAATGATGGAACCGAATCTCTGAATTCATTACCATTTTAATCAATTCACATTACAGTTTATCTTTTGGTGGGTGGCTTGGATTGCCATCTGTGCTATAAATTTATCATACTGAAAGTCCTTGGACCCCTGAACTCCATGACTATGCACAAGGTCACAGAGAGACCTAGATGGGCATGGCATTTTCATGCCAGAGAACGTGATGGAGCTTAACAAAGAAGAATCTTTACTGAGCCAAGATAGGAATTCCAACTTACCAACTTCAGGGACACAGTCCTGAGGGTTGCATGATTCTTTCTCTTCTGGTTTCAACTGAGGGTCACAGAGATTACTTAGGGTCATGTCATCTGACAGACAGCGCACTTCCCGGACCCGGAAGCCGCTCTGGCAGCTCTTGGAACACTGCATGGGGACAGAGGGAGAAAGTTAGATTTCTTGGCAGCCTATTAGCTCAGCATGCCAGAGAGGGCAGGTATTGGAAAACTTCAAATATCTCCAAAAGGAGACAGAATATTCAAACAAACTCCTATGCAACTATAAACCAGCTTCAACGTCCATCAACTTGTGGCCAGATGTGTCCCATCTATACCTCACTCATGTTTACTCTTTGAATTATTTTAAAGCAAATCTATACATCATATCACTTCTTCCATTATTTCAGTTTGTAGCTCTAAAACGCAAGGACTCTATAAAAAGTACCACAATATCTTTATTATACATAGTTCCTTATTATTTTAAAATATATATTCAGTGTTTCTATTTCCACTGGTCTTGTGAATCTCATAGATTTTTTAATATCGTTTTTTAAAAAGCAGGATCCACATTGGTCTACACCTTGCAGTTGGTTGCTATGCCTTTTAAAACTCTTTTAATACATAGGTTCCCGTCTTCTGTTCCTTCCCCTTGCATTTTAGTTGTCAAAGGAACTGAACCATTTGTCTTGCAGTTTCCCATGCTCAGGATTTTGTTGACCGCATCCCCATGGTACAGCTTAACATGTTTCTCTGTCATCTGTATTCTCTGTGGAAGTTGGATCTAGAAGAGGCCTTAACAGGCGCGGATTTAATTTTTTTGTGGTGAGACTATTTCATAGGATATGTATGATTATCTCTCTTTTGGGGATGTCAGCAGTCACTGATGAGCAATGCCCAGATCCTTTAGTTCATTCAGAAATTGAAAAATGATGATAATACCCTATCATCTCTTCTTTTTTCGTTAGCTGAGAATCTTTTCTGATGAATTCCCTTTACCTTCCCCCACACCTATATATTTGCCCTTTGGTTACCCAGTGGTGTAGGAAAGACAGAGTAAATGCTTGATTATTTTCTTTTATCAGTTTTCAGAATAATGAGTTGGTTCCCCTAACATCCTCGAATGGTGACCTATTAGTTATTATTATTATTATTATTATTATAAACTTACAAATTGATGGATTTAACATGTACAATGGGTTTCCTTCAATCTATGGTATTTATTACTTTTACTGATGCTCTCTGATGCCCTGTCAATGGCTAGCAGGAGCCTCTAAAAGTTGTTTCTTGAGTCCTTTGGTTACAGACTTGGTTGTCTTTGAGAGCTTCCCTTATTCCAATCTAATATATATATATATATAGTCCCAGACCAGAATCAGCCATTTCTCTAAGAATTCCTGGTTCCTTTAGTGGAGAGCGGCAGTTTGAAACCACATTTTGACTGATTGGCGTGCCCTTTGCTGCCAGATTGGTCATTGTTTCTAGGCCCTTTCGATGGCTAAAACTAGGAAAGTAAGATAAATTAATTAATGAGTTCATACTGATATTTCTAACTCAAATTCAGGTTAACATGATTTTTACTTACATCTCTTTTTTATCTGTATCTTTTTCTCCTAAGTTGAAAACCCTATTTCTCAAGGATACTGGGGATAATAGTTATACTATCATATTATCATACATATTATCACATATATTATCATAGTATCATAAAATATACTACTCATTTACTTTATCACACATTATGTACCCAACCATCTCATATAGTACAACATTCTCACTAAAAATGTGAGTATTGCAAACAATGTAAACATTTTTCCACAGGTCTTTTGTC